TTCGTGAATTTGTTATCGATTTATTTTTCATTATTTAGAATTGCACGTGACCTTAGGAAAGTTTACTTGACTATTCTGTGTGAATTGTGTCGGTGATTTACTTGTGGTCGTTATTGGTTGTATTTTGTGTTTTATGCATTTGTTGGGTAAAATGAAGACACATTATGAGTTGTGCATGTTTTAATGAAAAATATGATATTTTAATTTGGTAAATGTGGTCTAAGGCATGTGCGAAAAATAAGATGTGTTTTAACTGCAGTTATTTGGACATTGTTGAAATTGACTGTTTTAGGGATGATAAAAGAAAAGTTGATGAGGGTGGTGATGTGAAGTAACCAACTCTTTCTTCTATCCTCTTTGTGAGTGCCACTGTCACCCTCCCCTTTGTGGGTTTTATCCTTTGTAGATTTTTTGAGCGTTGGTGTTGGAGTAACCTTGTTGGTGTGTGGGTCAATTTAAATTGAGCCATAACCTTTGTGGTCGCCGAAATGTTTTGATTTGCAATAGTGGGGTTGTGATGCATTTGCAATGTGTTGGATGTCTTTTGGTAAGGTGGAGTATAGATGTCTGAGGGTACATTGTGGTTTGTATTGTGGGATGTGGAGTGTGGCATTTGGATAACGGTGGAGATGTGATCAAATGTTGGAATCCTTTATCTGTGAAGAGACCCTGATCAGGTGGAGTGCGAGTGAGGCACTTCTATCACTTCTATTAGGTGGAGACCTATCATCCACGTTGGTTGGAAGAAGTGATGTGGTGATAAGGGATTATCCCAAGAACTTAGGATCTATAGAGATTTACCAGTTAGACATGAGTTGAGTGATTAGTCTAGTGAGCTTTGTGGGCGATGAGGTGAGATATGTGTTCTCGAAGAGTGAGCAACACGGAATGGGATAGGATAAGTGTGGTGAGATCTTCGTGAGGTCATTTATGTATTTGTTGCGTATGTGTTGGCCTGTTGATTGACTTAGTGTTAATATGTTGTTCTGTGTGAACATGTTTGAAAAGATCTTTGTTATCCTATATGATATTTCTATCGCATGTTTATTTGCTCTTGATTGATTGCTGTGATTATTTGCTTCTACTTGGGTGTTCTTGAAGCAGGTATGGTATGTGTTTCAGGTAGAGACACGAGGTAAGGTCTGTGATGCCAATTTTATTGGTTACCTTGATTGTGCAATTATAAACTGTGTGTTTTGTTTGCTTGCAGATTTATTGAGATCAAGGTGGAGATTTGTTGGGTTTTTTGATACCCAATAAATCCGAGCGATGATGTTAAACCGGTTTATGTTGGATTAGTCTTCATAGGCCTCGGCCGATGATTGAAGTAAAATGTCGACACCACAATGAACGAACCATCCCGACAACCTAAGTGGGCCATTTGAAGTAGCCTAATTTGATTAGTGTTACTCATGGCCCGGCCCATAATCTTGGACGGCTTTAAGGTTGAAAGCCCACTTAGTTATCTATTGGGCTCCTTTGTGTTTGACCTAAAAGCCCAATTCCTTGCCTTATTAATATTGACCCGATTCTTGTTTCTCAAGTGTGGCAGAAAGGTTGGAGCCGTGAGTGAGGGAGAGAGAGCCGTGACTTTGTGTCCTTGGGTCTTGCTATGTGCTTGCCTTGTCTTTTCCTTCCTCTCTAGCCTTAGTGGCTGTTTCTTGAGGCTGCCTAACTCTTCACACCGAGTCCTAAGTGGGCTGATTCTTGTTGAAGAAACCGGTGAATGGGTGGTGTCGTTTTGGAGGTTCTTGGTCGGATTGTGGTGGTTCGATTTGGTTTATCTGAGCTCAGTATTTGGGTGCAATTGGAGACCAATATTCCTACAACTTCCATAGCAATGACAAACAGTAATGGAGATAGAGGGTCCCCTTGTCTCAATTCTCTAGTACTGCGAAAATAGCCTTCCGGAGAGCTATTCACCATAACTGAGTATGAAACCGTAGAGATACAAAACTGAATCCACCGACACCATTTCTCCCCAAAACCACATCTCCTGAGCATATACAAAACAAATCCCAATTAATATGATCATATGCCTTCTGAATATTGAGTTTACATAATATTCCTCGAACCCCCAAACGCAAGCTTGAGTCAATACTCAGCCACATATCCATCAATTGTTTTCTAACTGCGTTCTCCACTTCGCTAGCTTCCTCTTTCTTTTTCTCTTTCGCTTACCCTCTTTAGGACTTTCTTCATCTTCTACAAGATCACTTTCATCTTTCCAATCTAACTTGCTTTCCAAAATTCTTTGTCTGGCTGACAACAACCCATCTCCAGTATGCTTCTCCTCGTTCCAACGATTTGCAAGTCCAAGCAACCTATTTTCCTCATCAAAATCAGGTTTCTCATACTCAGCCGCATCATCGTTGCTATCACTCCCAAACTCTGGATTCACATCCTCCGTATCATAATACTTATTACCAAATGCTTCCTTCATCTTCCTGTTATACTCCTCGGGATCAAATTCTTCCTCCAAATCATCCTTGTCCAACAAACAAGTGCCATCATCTCCAATTCCTGCAACCTCTCTAATTTTTTGCAATTTCTCTTTAATCCCCTTTTTCTTCAAGTTCTTCAAATGCTTCAATTCCTCATTCCGCTCAAACTCAACCTACATTTTTCTCTCTTCTTTTATCTCCCTCTGCAACTTTCTAGCATTCTCTTCCTTCCTCACCGAACTCTCTACATTTCGTCAATGACCCAACACTCTATCCCCTGCATTCTCTTCAAACCTAAAATTGTATCCCCTCTCAAAATCCTCTTGTTTTTCTATCTCTTCCCCATCCTCAGAAAAACCAACATCCTCATCCACACTATTAATAATTTACCATCATCAAGCCATATTTTATTCCGAAAATAATCTTTTAAAAACTTCATGTCCTCATCTAACTTTTCATCCTCCCCAAAATAATCATCTAAAATTTTCCAATTTCACCGTCATCCTTCTCCTATTTACCATCAAATCCCTTTCCTCATCATCCTCAACGTTGGCAGCCTCCTCAAACTCCTTTAAAAACTCCCTCTTCAACTCCTCTTGTTCTTCCGCAAAACTCTTTACTTTCGCATTACCATCACTCTTCCTATTATTCACATCATCATCATCAAATTCCGGTCCCTCTTTAATTAAATGCTTTGAAACAACATCTTTCAAATACATGGGTTTCTTACCATTTCTGCCATCATTATTATTATTACCTAGCTTTTAGTTCTCATTCTTATTATCATTTTCATCCTCTGACATTGACTCGGAATCAGAAAAGAACAACTTTGCATCTTTACTGTTTAGCAAAGGATCTTGTATTTTCACCTTAATCAAAGCATCAAAAAATTCCAAATCCCGTTTCTTACTTGGTTTCTGCATATCCTCCTCATCCTCTTCCGACGAAAACTCTTCTGAATCATTATCAGTAAAATTGACGACCCCTTTCTTTTCCAGCTCCTGGATTTTCTGCAAGTCTTCCATCTTCTTATTGTGCTCGTATCAACAGGCAAATTCTTAATTAATCTCAATCTTCGAAACGTCATCATCCAACCCATTACTGTCATCATCAAACAGCTTCATACATCCATTCCCTTTCTCTTTTCCCATATTTTTCGAAAAATGTTAGGGCTTTCCTTAAATTATTACAGTTATTTAATTGTATACTCAGACAGTGACAGGCTAGTATAAGGTTTGGGAGGTGGTATGTAGGGTTTAGGGGCTTTAAGGCGTTTTAGCATTATGATTTTGGATGGAAAATTCAATCAAATTACAGACCTGTTCAATGGGGCCGGCCTGTTCTGGTTTGGGGCAAATCGGGAGTTAAATGTTTCATTAGCCACTGAACTTTATGATGTGTAAGGACTTACTCACCGAACTTTCAAAATTATCTTGGTGGCCACTGAACTTCACTCCGTCCAACTCCATCACTCACCCATTTCAAACCGTTAACAGACGTGACTACGTGGATGACGGAAAATGACTTAGCCGATTAAATCCTTCCAAATAAGTTAGAATTGGCCAACTCATTAGCCAAATAAGCAACCTAACCAAACACGCCATTGCCAATTTTCAAAAACACGATTCTTCCTACTAATGTTATATGCCAAACCCAATTCATTTTCTCTCCAAACCCAAGCCGTGAAATCACTGTGAAACCCGAATCATTCTCAAGAACCCTAAAACCCCAATTGTTCCAATCGGTGAGAAGCTCGTCGTTTGAAATTCCCAAACCAGGCCGGAATCTCCATACCTTTATCACGAAATTCAGATCGGTGTAAGTATTTTGTCCCAGAGTTGAGTTTTTGGCTTGAAGGAACTGTGTTTTCAAATTTTTTTGGCGATTTTATTATATATATGCTGCCTTTTTTATTTTATGAAATATGTTGGTAAAGAAGTGAAGAATTTCTCAATTTTTTGGCGATTTTATTACATATATATATATATGCTGCCTTTTTATTTTGAAATATGTTGGTATCGTTTGATATAGCCTCTGGTAGTTTTAATTGTCAGAAATGTGAATTATTGGGATACATGGATTGAAAACTTTTCAAGTTCTTTAGCTTTTGATCCATTCATTCATTCGTTCCTTAAACTTAGGTCGGTTATTCATTCATTCATTCCTTAAAATAAGGCTCACTGTCCCTCCCATTTGATAATTCTTTGTGAAGAGAGCCAATAATTTAAAGTGATGATTAAAGAAATTTGTGAATAGCATCTGTTACCTTGGAAATACTTTTACAGAACAGGTTCTTTGATTCATAGATAAGAACATATCGTCTTTATATCTGTATTTGATTATAGCATTAGTTTAAAGTATTCTTGAAAGCTATGTAAATGTTTGAAGATGTAGTTATGTGATATGTCTTGTTGCTTAACTGTCATTTGTATAAGTTCTCACGGTTCTATAATCATAAATGTTCATTCCTGATTTTATTTTCCCTTTTTAGCCGCATTAGCAGATTATAATGGGGGGAAAACAAGGGGATTTGTCATGGTTGCCGGAAATCGGGTACTACTTATTGGATTGTCCGACGAAGAAATCGTGCCCAGTATGCAGCAAGCGAATTCAGAAATGCATGGAGGTTGAAAAGATGACTAAAAACTTAGGTCGGTTATTCTTCTGTTATACTAACGACTGCTCTCATTTCAAGTTGCTCGACGAAGATGAGAATTGTCAATATGATGGTCAATCAAGTGCTACATCGGATGACGAGTTGTCGGGTTTGTTGAAGCATGTTACTAAAATAACAGAAGAAAATGACGTTCATATCTCTGTCAAGTTTAGTTTTCGCAAGGGAAAAGGGGAGAAGGAGAACGGGAAACAAAATGGAAGAGATTTGTGAAACGAAACAATTTACGTTATTGTCTAGCTTGTGTAGTTCAGTAGTTTTATGTTTATGTTTGTAACTTCAATGTTTTTAGAATCAATGTAGCTGTAATTTAGAATTTATGTTTGTAATTTCAATGTCTTGCCTTTATTTTATTTAGCTGTATTCAGAATTAATGTAGCTGTAATTCAAAATTAATGTTATCAATGCCGTTACTGTATTGGCTTCATTTTATCTGCATTAAATAGTTCATGTACCACCTATCACCTATACCACTTACCACCTGTATGGTTTGCTGATTAGGTTCTAGTTGGTTGGGCGATCAAGGGTATTACAATGCAACCACAATCACTGAAGCTTACCATGTGGTTGAATATGGAACAAAATAAGGTTAATGATTCATCGCCCCTAATCACCCGATTAGAATGGAAGAAAAACCAAATATCCCAAATAGTTCTACTCTTAGGGGTAGCCTGGAGACCACTCTTCAGGATCCATTTTCTTCTACAGATGGAGAAGAAATTCATAACGTAGGAGATGAGGAAAATCAAGCTGGAAATGCTCAAAATCAGTTGGTGCTTTATGACCCTGCTGTTGCCGATAGTGCTCGTGGAGTTGAAGCTGTCCCAGATTCCATTGCTCATCAACCTCCATCCTTTTCTAGATTCCCCTTTTCAAATCAGCCATCGAGGGTATTGCCAGCTGTAGGGGCTTTCAATGTCCAGTGTGCCAACTGTTTCAAATGGAGGCTCATTCCATCAAAGGCAAAGTATGAGGAAATATGGGGAACACATTATAGAACAACCCTTCTTATGTGAAACAGCTCGTGAGTGGAGGTCTGATGTATCATGTGATGATCCAACAGACCTTATGCAGGATGAAAGCAGGCTTTGGGCAATTGACAAACCCAACATTTCTCATGAACTTAGATCTAAGCTCACGCAAGGCATGAGATCACTATTTTTTAGATTTACTGTCAAGATTTTCACTACAAACAGGCACCTCAAGCAAAAGCCACCACATGATGCTAGTTTTAACTATATCTTATTTTTTGTTTCTTCTTTTTGTTTCTTTTCTTCCAGTCCATAGATCTAAAAACACAGAAATGGAGAAATTTTATTACAATCAAGCATTTCTGCCACCAAAACTAGGGGAAAAACCCAAACTAGCTAAAAAGTAAAAACATCATATTGCGGGACAAAATCATATGTAGAACAATATGTTTACAATTTACATCTTCAATAAAAAGTAAAAACATCATATTGCTGGACAAAATCATATGTAGAACAATATGTTTACAATTTACATCTTCAATCTCCTTTACACTGGACAAAATCATATATCAATACCAGTTTCCAAAAAACTAGTGTTGCTTGGCTTTTGCACATGTGGGAACACCATCTAAAAGTCTGTCAACAAAAAAGAACAGACTAGAAGTCAAAAAGGCTAGTAACTCCCACAACAGAGTAGAAGTTAAAAATTCCAGCAACTCCTATTTTTTAGCATATCTATAAGAAAAGCTAAGTTGACTTCAAACATAATTTTTTAGTGTCGTCGTTTTCCTGCCCTTGAAGCAAATGAACAGGCAGTTTCTGCATCTCCCTTATTATTTAAGTTGTCCACAACATCGTCAAAGTTCACATCATCAGTTGGAACTTCAGGAATAACCGACCGCGTACATGTTGTTGATGCTGGGCCAGATTTTAGATTGATGGATCGCGCTTCACAAGTCACCATTGGCATTGGAATGAAGTGGAAAGTATGTTCGTTCATGGGGTTATCATCCTTAGATACTCATTGTTGCCTTTCTGGCAACATTTTGCTCTGTATGATAGTATCACATTTTCAGGTACTCAATAAAAAAATGTTATCACGTCTTGTACTCAAATCATGTACTCAATAATTAAAAAAAAAAGCTAGATTTACTCAATGAAACATTTACTCACACGTTCATCGAGCACTCTGTCGCAATGTGTGTCAACTACTTCTAAATGTCCTTCATACCAATCATGTTGAAGAAAAAAAGTTATAGTCCATCAATCGATTTATAACATCAACGAAAGCAAAATTGTACTAACAGAATCTGGTGCATCCGGTCTGTTATGGTATCGCTTGTTGTGACCCTGTTGTTTGCATAATGTGCATGTCATCTTCAATCTCTCATTTCTCCGAATATAGGTCTTCTCTTGTGAATGCACTATCACATCTTCATCTGTTCATTTTCTCCAATTTATTTGTCTCCATGCCTTTCGTGGTACAGTCCACGATG